ATTTCATTAGAAAAACCTTTTTTATCATATGACTATCCCGGACACGAAATTTTTCTTATTCTCTTAATAATATATAGATAATTTCTTAAATACTAAAAAATCCTTCTATTACAATCAATCTTTAAAAAATATTTATAGAATTCCATTGAAGCAGTAAAAAAATTTTTTTCTCGTAAAGTTTAATAAAATAGATTTAAAAAGTATCTCTCACGTCGAAAAGTAAATAACAAGTGAAATGTGGGCAATACGGATTTGGATTTGCCGTTTTAGTAAAGTAAAAAAAAAAAAGAAGGATTTAAAAAAAGTGCGACAACGTATAGCACATTTATAGAGGTCTCAGGTTGGAGCACGTAATGTCACCATTGAGAGCATATCCCACTCGACAAAGTATAAACTGGTATCCGGGCGAGCTGGACAGCGCATGTACCTCTCTCTACCTATACTGGAGTTTACAGTACTGCTCTTTTCCTTTTTCTTTATTTTTATTGTTATTATTTCTGTTTTTCTTTCTCGATACTGTCGAGGGTAGACACCGCCAGTCTGGACTCTGGATATCCGTAAGCTATACCAGGAGATCTGAGATTAGGGTGAAATCAGTAGGAAATAAAAACAAAGAAAAGGATGAGGAAAAAAAAATAAATAAATAAGACAGTTGAGGTTAAGGTGGACCGGTTCACAACAATGTTGTCGGGTTTTCTTAAAACTTTTTCGCGTCTTAATTTAACGTTTTAAGAGAAACAACAATGTCGATTCTCTTTCTATTGTACAAGAGAGTTTTTAAATCCAGAATTCAATAAAATAAAATAAAAGTTAAATTAAATGGGTAAAAAGAAAAAAGGTAATGACATTCTCGTTCAAAAGTTCTTTGAGTATTTAAGTAGGATTACTCATTGTTATTTCACCCAAGTAAATGCTTCTTGGTTTATTTAGATTTTTTTTATTGTTATCGGGGCATAAAAATACACTGAATAGCTTAAAACCGCGGACGAGTGGCCAGCGGAAAGGGGACCGAGAGCTTTCAATTGTTCAGTAATCACATTGTATTTATATTCAAATGAATTAATTAAATGAGAAAATTAATTTTTTTATTTTTATAAAATTATTCTGAAAATTAAAGTCTCTTAGATTTATTAATTGTTTTCAAGGTAGTCATATATAATGAAATTTTTTATGATAAGTATGTAGGCTGCATTCGAAAATACTCTAGCAGGTAATTGAGAAATTACTTTGTATCTTGTGAACTATTGACATTTTTAAAGATATAAGCTCATCCCGATGTTACACTCATCGAAACTTTTCATTTAAGTACCCACATCAATTTTTCATATATTTTATATATTTATATATATGTATATATGAAAAATATATCAAAATTGTATGTTGGTACTCAAATGGAAGCTCTTGATGAGTGTAACATCAAGATGAGCTTATATCTTTAAAATATATATTATATATATGTATATATGAAAAATATATCAAAATTTAATATTTTATTGAATTAAAAAATAAAAATTTTTTTTAAAAAATTGCATTTTTTCATTTTTAAAAATTTTTTTTCCACCATTTATTTATTATAAATTTTCACAAATTATTAATTATATCCTAAATTAATTTTTGTTAATTAAGAAATGATCTTGTATCTTGAGAAATATTGACATTTTTGAAGATATAAGCTCACTTTGACATTACACACATCGACAGCTTTCATTCGAGTACCCACATCGATTTTTCATATATTTATATATATTATATATATGTATATATGAAAAATATATAAAAAATGCATGTGGGTATACTCAAATGAGAGCTCTTGATGGGTCTAACATCAAGATGAGCTTATATCTTAAAAAACGTCAATATTTAAGAAAGTACTGTGCAATTTAACAAAATTCACTATTCAATAACGCAAAATCTTATTTATATTTATGTAGTGACTGCAAAGTTGCTGATAATAACGAAATTTAAAAAAAATCTTGCCATTATTATTATTATTCCAACTAAAAACCCTCAGGCAGAAAAAGTATCAGAGTATAATTGAGCATAACAGGATTTTTCCGACGGTAACTGACCGCAAAAAGCCACTCAAATTCCCGAAGTTGTTTGTAAACGTCTCGGAGCTTTGGATTCGTTGACAAAACACCCCTCGAGTATTGGCAACACTGCCAAGTGATGGTATCGCTCGCTTATTATTATAGTTCGAGGCAAGATTCGCCATTCGAGTCATACCCGATTCGGTAACTCGAGTATTTTGAATGATGGCTGCATTGTTTCCTGAGCTTTCACGAATATCGGGACCGGGATTTTTCCCCCTCCCCCCACCCCTCCACTTTGTACGAGCCAACCCGCTGATATTTATTCAACAATCCTTTTGTTGTATAAATAACTCATCCCCTTTCTCTCGATTCTTTCATCCCGATACTGACATGGCCATCAGCGTTAAAACATATTCGACATCAACGTGAACATCGACATCAACGTCGACATCGACAAGGACGTCGCCATTCTCTGGATAATTCATCCTCGATAATAAATGAGGTTATAAACCGGGAAAAGCGGAAACAGGAGAGGAGAGAGAAAGAAAGAGTGGCTCAGTTTGATCACCCTCGACAACTTTCAGCAATTGGTGTTACCGTATTAATGCCCCGATAATGCCAGTGCATTGTGAACCTGGTGGTAGGTAGTTCGTCCTCCCTTTCATCCTTGTACTGGAGCTTTAATCGATTTTATCTTTACCAAAATAGAAAAAAATAAAACCACTTAATGCTGCATTTATCGTTTTTTAGCTTTTTGTCTGTTACATTTAGTTCTGTTATTTATTCATGTACTTTTTTTTGTATAAGTTCGAACATGAATAAGCTGGGACTATATTCCGCGAGATTTTAATATTAATATCTGTTTATATTTTATGTATTTATGTGGATCGGGGATTATCAATATGGATTTAGTGAGTAAATAATTGGGGATTTCGGTGATTGCATAAGGATTTAATTATTTACCTGCCAGAGCATTTAATATTGATGGCTTTAATTAGTGGTATGGAAAAATTAGCTTAGGAGATTTTGGATTTTTAAGTAAAACAAGATAAAATTTTAAGTGTATATAAAGAATTTCTATTAAAAAAAAATAATACCTAATTTTTAAATTAATTAATAAGAGTTTTGAGGAAATTTCGGATAAATTTATTCATTAAATAATTATTAACATTTAATTGACTAATAAAAAATATAGCACTCTGAATTACAGGTATACACTTGACAACACAAAAAGAGTGTCCCTAACCTTAAAATTTATTTATGTTAACTGTCTAACTAAAATGACTAAGATCTTCTAGCATTTAAAAAACCGCGGGTACTTATATATGCTTTGGGTAACTAAGCAAGCGGTGTTGCCAAGTCAAATACAAGACTTTAAAGAACGCAAGTTCCGAGTGATTTTTTATAAAAAATATAAAATATCTCCGTAATACATTCGGAAAGCTACTTTTCTTATTGTTTTAATCGAAAGCTTATTATTTTTTCAATCAAATTCAATGAAAATAAAATTTTTTTTAAATCGTTAATTGCATTAAATTCTTAACCAAATACACGACTGGTGGAATCTCCATTTTACATGTAAAAATTACAATTTAAAATCTAATTTTTTGATTAAATATATCAAAAACCTACTGTTTTTAGGAGATTTCATACAAATCTATTGCATTGGTCCTCATGACGGAACTTTTGAAAAATTTTGCTATATTTCGACTCAGCTCGTCAAGCGGAATCAGAAAATGCATATGGTTCAAAAGTTTATATATGTGTATATATACGATATAACCGGCCTTGTCTCTTCTCTAACTCCCGCAATTCTATACGGATCTCAATAAAACGTAACATACTTATTCTTAGGACGATTTTCAAGTTTAAGTTCAAAGATCAGCCAAATCGGTCGATTAGTTTAGAAATGAGAGCAATTCAAAAATTTTCAAAAATCGTTGAAATTTTCACTTTTAACGTATTTCCGTGCAATAATAATTAAACGCGATATCATATTTCATTTCTGTGAATTGCATCTGGAAGCTTATTTATTAAGCTTTAATTTGCATGCTTATCTATTTTTCTAAATTAAATAGTTTAGGAATGACAGAAATTTAAATTCTTAAAAATCCTAAAAATTTAGAACTTTGACTGTTTCTTTGCAAAATAACTATTGAATGCGATAACTTGTAAAATTTTTATAAATTGCATCTGAAAGCTTATTAAGTAAACTTCGATTTACATAGTTTTCTATGTTTCTAAATTAAATAGTGTGAACATGACAGCAATTCAAAAATTTTTACTTTTACCGTATTTCCGTGCAATAATAATTAAACGCGAAATCATATTTAATTTCTGAAAATTGCATCTGAAAGCTTATTTACTAAGCTTTAATTTGCATACTTATCTATTTTTCTAAATTAAATAGTTTAGGAATGACAGAAATTCAAAAATTTTTGAAAATCACAAAAATTTTCACTTTTACCGTATTTCAGTGCAACAACAATTGAACGCGATATCCTATCAAATTTCTGTAAATTCCATCTGAAAACTTATTAAGTAAGCTTTAATTTGCATACTTATATATTTTTCTTAATTAAATAGTTTAGGAATGATAGAAATTTAAATTCTTCAAAATTCTCAAAATTTGGAACTTTGTTTCTTTGCAAAATAAATAATGAATGCGATAACTTGTAAAATTTTTGGAAATTGCATCTGCTTATTAAATAAACTTTAATTTGCATACCTTACCATCAGTCTAGACCAAAAATTACTCTCTCAGACAGATCTAATTTTACTTTTGCAATCGTTTTGATGTCATTATTTTATTGCAACAGAAGTTATATATCATTAATATCATTTTATAAAAAACACCTTTTCTTTTATCTATAAAATCTACTTCTGGCTGCCGTATGATTATTTTTTTTCATTACATTATTTATAATTCCTATTTGAATTTTCAAATTTTCAATAAGTTTCAACAATTTATAATTCCCGTGAATCTCTTTAAATAAACTAAAAATTCCAAAGAGATATTAAAAGTTATAAGATCAATCCCGGCATTTATTAAAAATGATTATCAATCAATCAATCAATCAATCAATCAAAGAGTCTGTTATTGAAATAAAAGTACTTACGTATGATCTCTGAGTATCGTTTCAATTTTGTTGGTGATGACATTCCAAATAAAAACACTCCCATCAGCTGATCCGACCGCGATATACTGTCCGTCCGGGCTGAAGGTAGCTCTCGCCCAGTCGCAGCCCACCTTGAATCCGTCCGCGCTGAAATAAACGTTATTTAATATTGAACAATGTGAGAGAAGGTACAGTTACATTTAAAAAAAAAAAAAAACTCACCTGAATGATCCAACAATTTGTTTCATACGTAGATCAAGGAGCTTGACCGTATCGTCTCGCACGCAACTCAATAAATAATTGGCGTCTGTTAACACAAGAAAATAATTATCAATATAATAACAACGAAACTAGGCGTTAAGTATTTTTAATTACAAGTAAACAAGTGTATCTTGATGTTAGTCTCTTATATAGTAGCTGGTACATATAATCTGGCTAGTACTTTATCGGATTCCAATTGGAATACCGGTGTAAGTTGGCGTGATCACCGAGTAGGGGGTCAATAACCAATCTACTATTTCTTACGGAGTTATTTAAGCTAAAACCGTTCCGTAATCTATCATAATTATAATAAATATATTTTTTTTATTTCAATATTATTTAATTACAAGCATTGTTGATTGATACCGTAAACTCTGTTGTACTCTGTTGTACGGAAGAATTGGATTAATTAATGGTTGTGTGTGTTTATGTATTAAATTAAGCCAACCGGAGAGCCAAATCCGAATCCGAATTTGTGTTTACGGTTAAAGAGTTGAGATTCGGCGGCTCTTCTCAATCGAAACCGAGCATAGGATACCAATTCGTACTCACGGGTATTCCTTTGAATGCGATAACCGGGTAATTACCTCAGCCGGAAATAAAATTCTTTGGGGAATGCCCGACGATGCTCACATGCTCGGGATAATAAAATAGACTGTTTATTCAATAAGGAAGTACCTTTTTAAATTAACCGTTGCAGAGGATATTATTTTATTTTTTACAAGAATATTATTATAGGATTTGGTTCTATTTTATAAGATTTAGTAATAGTTACTAAATCATTTATTTCCACCAAATAAATATTTAGTATTATTTAACAAAAGATTTATTGCTTCGCAATAAATCGATTATTGGTATTAAAGAAATTAATTTTTTAACTAATTTTACCGTATAACCTAACTTTTAACTCAAAATAAATCAAAATAATTAAAATAAATAATTTTAAGTAAAAATATAAGGTATTATAAAGAAAATAATCTCATTAAATTATAATTTTTTAGAGACATTTATAAAATTTAAAATTAAACAAGTTTTTAACATAATAATAGACAAATTGAAAAATTTAAACTAAACCCCGCTGAGAAAATTACATATAAGCCATTTGGGAGTATGTGTGTTTTCAAAGGGATGATAAATCTCCCAAAATCGAGCTGAATAAAATAATCCGAACAAAAACAGTTTCACTGTAAAAAAATCGCGCCAAGTCCACGTTCATAAGACTATTAAGAAAAAAAAATTTTGTTTTTTTTACTAAAAAGATATAAAATAAAAAAATTAAAAAATACCAAGTAACCGATATGATTGTATCTGATTTTCCGTCAGATTTATCCTAAACTTCATTTAATTACCTTCAATATAAACTATCATTTGTCTAGTTTTAATGATTTTTTTAATTAATTTCGTGACTTTGAAAATTTTCAAAAATGTTTCAATGAACGTATTTCGGCCCTTCTTTTCAAATAATTTTTAGGTCGTAAAAGATAGCTTAAATCTATTAAATTTATGTTAAAATTTACATAATTATCTTTAATTTGAGCTTTTATTCGTCGCTTTTTGATCCATTTTTCAATTTATTTCGTAGTTGGGAAAATTAAAAAAAATCTAGAATAAATGAATTTTTAGCTTTTATTATCAAAAAACTTTCATCTGTTACAAATCCTATTTTTTTAGGTAGATGTCTTTAAATATCTATTTATTGTAGTCGGTCTCATATCGTTATTTGCAAAATTATGATAAAAAATACATTTTAGGACATTATTGCCTTTTAATAACGTGTTTTTTTTTTAATATTCAAACGAGAAATCTATACCTATCCATGTCGGGTATGGCCGAATGGCGCTTTTTTTATTTTATATCTTTTTTGTAAAGAAAACAAAATTTTTTTTTTTAATAGTCTTATGAACGTGGACTTAACGCGATTTTTTTTACAGTGAAACTGTTTTTGTTCGGATTTTAGTATTTTTTGTAATTATAATAAAAATTTACAATTAGTACAAATTTAAATCTCGCGTTGGCTGCATTTTTATAGCAAACTATTCCCTTGAAGCTACAGTTTATGTAAAAATAATTCCAGCGCACCCTGGCGGGTGTAGATGCAAGCTGTGAAATGTATTTTTCTAACTGTAGTTTCCCATCTATCGGAGGATTACCATGCACTATCGAATTATGTAGTCTGTGGCAGATCACTTTGCCCATCGAAAAAAAGTCAGGATCGAAATTTTTGCGTTGCTATAGTTTGTGCTGATTGAATTTAATAACTTCAAGTAAATTAATTGTTATAATTAAATATAATTAATTAATATCAGTAAAATAAAGTATGAATTACTGTTATAATATAAAATTTAGGAAAAAAAATTACCGTAGAAATAAATAAAATTTTGCAACCTCGAAATACCGTTCTGCTTACAGTAAACACACTCGGTAGTCTGGCGCTCCGTTTACAACGGATTTGAACGGAACTTGGCGCCAGATTCTACCGAATCTGTGGATGAATTTTGTTAAATTGCACTGTACTTTCTTAAATATTAACGTTTTTAAAGATATGAACTCATCCCGATGTTACACTCATCAAGAGCTTTCATTTAAGTACTCACTTGCATTTTTCATATATTTTTCATATATACATATATATGGTATACATAAATATATAAAATATATGAAAAAATTAATGTAGGTACTCAAATGAAAGGCCTCGATCAGTGTAATGTCATGATGAGCTTATATTTTTAAAAATATCAGTAGTTCTCAAGATACGAAGTCATTTCTTAATTATTGACATTTTTAAAGATATGAGCTCATCCTGATGTTACACTCATCAAGAGCTTTCATTTGAATATCCACTTGCATTTTTTATATATTTCTCATATATACATATATATGGTATACATAAATATATGAAATATATTTAAAATTGATGTGGGTACTCAAATGAAAGGTTTCGATGAGTGTATCATCGGGATTAGCTTAAATCATTAAAAACGTCAATAGTTCACAAGATACAAGGTAATTTCTTAATTATGTATTTGGAGATATTTTTTAACTCAACCTAAATACGTATCATTATAAATTGACTATCGGTGAGAATTAAATCTTGAAAAGGCTAAAATTCAAAACAAGACACTAAATTTCACTGAAAAAACCTATTTTATCATATGACTATCCTGGACACAAAATTTTTCTTATTCTCTTAATAATTGATTTAGACTAAAAAAAATAATTAATTAATCTCTAAAACAAATAATTTTTTTTTCCTAAATAAATCTCTAAAAATTTAGTTACTCCATACTAAATCCTATCAATAAATTAAAAATAAAATAATAAAAATTACCTCGTGATAAATCAAGCGACGTGACCTTTCCCTGCAGTAGGATGTCATTGGAACTCGACTCGGCTCTGGTATCCCAAAATCTGATTCTCTTGTCAAAGTGACCGCTGATTATGGTGGATCCAGCTCCATCAGAGGTGACGAGGTCGTTGCAACTCGAGCCGGCAAATTTAGTTTCAATGCCTGTGTAGCAATCCCACAAGTACCCCAAATAAAGTTTGGTTATTTGTCTATCAAGTAAGCTCGCAGCCGAGAGCCTTTGACATTAGTCGAACGGTTATTGGTATATAAGCTGCAAGGACCAAACAAGGAACGAGGATGAGGATCGGGAAACTAAAAAGGAGTCCTGGATAGTAATGAAAGCCAACGAACTTTAAACTGTTATCAGGTTACTGGCAAGAAGTAGACAGAGCCTTCGAAAACCGCAACGCCTGCGGAAATGTGTAGCTTACATATGGCTGAGAGAGACTATAAAGTGGATAAATAATGAGGTTTGAGCTTACGCCCACCGTCTGACTGGTTGCCTGCCTGCCTGCCTGCCTGCCTTCTGTATACTCTATACAAAGTCGTGCCATCCCGAGTCACCAATTTCGATTTTCCTTACCTTATACCTTATACCTTATATCTTATATCTTGTGCCTTATACCTACAATGTCCTGGATATATCTCTCACTCACTCTAAACCTCTTATTCGATCCCATATACTCCCTGGAATTGACGATACTACCAACTTACCCCCGTTATACTACCCCGCCTTCATTATATCCATACCTTTACTTATATTACCGAAAGTTTGTTCCGAGTGTACAGAAATTGAGATTTATATTTATTGCTCTTTTCGTTCTATGGTAAATAATGTTTCGTACTCTGAAAGAAATTTTCTTTAAAAATTACCGATAAATTTACGGTAATTGTGGGACTGGAGAACAAAATTCTTGGCTCAAGAAAATTTGTCGGGTGTCTGAAGGAAGAACGAAGTTGTGTTGGTCGAAGTTAAAATTTTTCGAGAAATTCTATTCTTGGTGGAAGTCATTTTTTCTCATCATAAATACTTGATACAATAAATTTTTATATTTGATCAAGATTTTTAGATACTTTAGGGAAGCAGCGCCACCTACTTCAGCTGAGAAAAAAATTTTCTGACCTTGAGAAAATTTTTCTCGAGAATATTTGATACCCTTTTTATATTATTTTACCGTGCAATTATATATATTGAATGAAAAAAAATGATGAAATATTATTTGATCTTGCCATTTGACATGTTAATCAATAAAAATATTAATGAAAATTTACTTCTATCTTTATATTTAATTTTTTGGAGCAAGAGAGAAATTTTCTCAAGACAAGAAAATTAACTTCTATCAAGAACTAAATTTTTTGGAGCTCGAGGTTGAATTTTCTCAAAACAACAAGATTTTCTTGACTTAAATAAATTTTCTTGGATCAAGATACGTATTTCTTAAAGCAAGAGAATTAATTTTGTTGGAATAAGTGAAATTTCTTTTCAAAAAAAATTTTTTTTTCGCTCAAAAAAATAAGGAAGAAAAATATTTTCTTGGCTCAAGTGAACCTTTTTTTTTCAGCAAATTTAACTGTAGTCTATTGTAACAAAATTGAGATGAAATGTATATAGCATCAATTTATTTGTTATGTGATTGTTCAAATTTATCATAAGCATAAAAATATATGGTGATTCTCTGTAAGGATTTTTTTTGCTGTCCCGGGCATGTTTTTTTTAGAAAAATTGTTTTTTACTATTTTTACTACGGAATATTTTTTTACTAAAATAAATTTATTAAGAAAGTAAAAAAACATTTCTATTTGGAGCATTGAAAACTAAAATGAAATAAATTTTGGTTTTTTTGCTATAAATTGGTAAACCACCGAAATAACAGTCCCCTGGGCTGTCCCATTCCCAAAATTAAAACTTTAAGATTAAATTTTAAGTTATTCGTCCATAATATATAATTTAGTCCATAATGTTTATAAACTTAATTAGTTAACTAACAATCTTCTTCAATAAAAAGTACTGAAAATTAATTTGTTTCATTAAATTCATTAAACCAAAGTTTGTCCCAGGCATTTTAAGAACAGCCCCCTGCCAGAAGTTCAAAGCCAAAAAAAAATCCAGCGTGTTATTTTACCTTTTGTAAGGTTTATAAGGATCTAACTGCCCTTGAGTTAATAACCATAGGGCTGTTAGCGCTTTATCGGCATTTTATTTAGTGTCAAAGCACCGTTTGTGCTGGAAATATGTGTCTGGGCCATTTCAAAACTCAGTCCCCTGGCAACTATTTTTATTTATAATTTATTTATAAAATTCGATCCATAAGTCTTAATATTATTCTAATTAATGTAAACATTCATTGAGAACTTGAAAAGTTGAATGCATTGAAATAGTTTGCTTGATTTTTCTCAATTTGATAAAAAAAACAGTCCCCTGGCAAACAGTCCCCTGTGATGTTATATGGCAAAAGATACACAAATATCGAAAAAGCAAAAATTAAATCGGCTGTTTATTTATTGTGATTAAGCTGATAGTTTTGTAGCCCTTGTTAATTTTTTTTCTAACAAAATCAAAAATAATTTGGTCGGACAATTTTGTACAGATTTAAGACGTCCTTACAGAGAATCACCCATATACAAACTCCATATTCAAGCGCGCGCTTGCGTGCGCAAATTAAATTCTCGTCTACTGTAAATTTTACATAATCGGTTTTTGGTAAATTTGTCTACCACAAAAAAAAAAAAAATAAATTTTTTCGTTATTTTCATTCCAAAAATGGTAATAAATAAAAGGACCACATTATAATTTTTTCAAAAAATTTTTTTCTGTATAAAATTGTTACCATCCAAAAAGGTATATTAAACCCATTATTTTTTTATTATCATTGATCGATTTTAGTTATAAATAAAATAAAAATGTTATATTTAAAATATGCTTTGTAACTAAAAAATATTTGTCAATTAAAAATTATTCGATTACAATAAAATATTCATTTGGGAATAATTCAAACTGTCGAATTAAATGAAAATTGTAAATTGACTGTCGGTGCATTCACTCACAAATTAAAACAGAAAAATAATACAATCGGAAAATATTCCATCTGTTTCTCCCTTTAAAATCCACCCACGTCAGTCGACAAAATATATAAATGTTATTTTATCTAGAGCATCAGCGAAATTAAATGAGATAAAATTTGATGGTGAATTTGCATTTAATCAACAAGTCATGTAAATAATCGCAGTAGAAGTAAAATACAAAAACAAAACAAAAGTTGCCGTTTTTTTTTTTTTTAAATCAACAATCCGTGTAAGTTCAAATAAAGGTGTGGTAGGATAAATAAATGCCGGATGGATATATACTATGAATATTATTATTTTGAAACCGAGCAAAATCTAATGACAGAACTATGAGTATCGCGTAGATAGCTCGCGATGTTATATAACAACGCGAACAACGTTCCGAGCCCGAATGAAGCGATTTTGTGCCCTTGGGGGTTGAAAGAATAGCGGAAAATATGAAATAACCGAGTAGAATCGGAGGACGCAACAGCACGCTCTCATCCCACCCGGGAAAATAACGCTCGCAACTTAATTCTGATACTCGGCCATTTTTTAACTCCCTCGAGCTAAATTTTATTATATAAATATAAACTTTTTTATAATACAAATAACTAAATTGGCTAATTATTTTTTTTTGTGTGTTTCCAGATTCGTTTTGTCGGAAGAAGCGTTCACCGGCTCCAGGGAATAGAAAATGTGAGTAAAATTGTGAATATTAGAACTGCTTAAAAAATTCCAAAAGACAATTTTATTTATTAAAGACGATTCAGCAGCCAGAAGTAGATTTTAGAGATAAAAAAAGGTGATTTTTGAAAAATTATTTTATTAATAATATATAACTTCTGTTGCAATGAAATAATGGTGAGGTATATAGGAAATACGGTAAAAGTGAAAATGTTAACGATTTTTGAACATACATATATAAACTTTTGAACCGTATGCATTTCTGAATCCGCTTAACAAACCAAATCTAAATATATCAAAATTCTTCAAAAGTTCCATCATGAGGACCAATGCAATAGATTTCTATGAAAATTTAAATTTATGATTGATATATAAAGGTAATTATAGTTGATAAATGAAATTTATGACGTCGAATATAATCCGAGGAATAACGGGATCCATAAAATGAATTTTTCTTGCTTGGCGCCCATGTAGGAGATAGAGATGCGGTAATACTCTCACCGGGAGATCGCTCTTTTTTAAAACTATTTTCTGGGTGGTAGTTCCTACCCTCGGCCCTTATCTCTCCCAGCGTTGCGCCGTATATTTAACCACTTTAGACGGAAATTAGATGCGCTGTAACTTATGAAAGCGCCGGAGAACAAGTCAAACTGAGAAAGGTAAATTCGCCGGTCTAGACCACCTTCATCTCTTGGCTCTATATCGATATCAGCGAGAAAGGGATGAGAGAAGCAGACTCTTGAGAACACCAGCAAATTAATACAATCCAGATTTTCATTGGGGTTCTCAAATCTGGTGTATACCAGTATCTTGTGTCAATACCTTGGGTCTTACTCGTTATTATCCTATCGGGTGCTTTCCTCCAGCAAGACCTGGTATAGGTCCAAAGCTTCCTTCCGAGAAGTTGGTACCTTCCTTCTTCTTCTTCTTCTTCTTCTTCTTCTTCTTCTTCTAGCTAGCTGGCTGGCTAGCTTGCTAGCTTGGGCTCTTCTCGAGGAGATCCGTTGGTCTTTGCTCAGTTCTGTTGTCCATGAGAAAATCGATACCTCAAGGGTAGCAAGCGGGAGACAGTAAAAGCAGTATTGCTGTTCATATTGAGATTAAGCCACGAAAAGACTCAAAGTTGGTTGGTTGGTTGGTTGGTTGGATAAATGGCCGATAAACTATCGCGATAACTCACCCTTACTTCTATTCAACTTGAATTCTGGTTCTTTGTTCCGAGTTTGTTTTTTCGGGGTAATTGTAAAATATATTCGCAAAGTGCTTTTTGACATTCGCTTAGTCGTTTGCCAGCGGGCTCCCGAGAGGTTCCAATAAAAATTTAGCTGTCGATTGTATATCGTGACGTGGATGTTTGTTAGGGCGATGGCGATGGCGATGGGAATGCTGATGCTGATGCTGGGGACTCCAAACTGTAAACTGGGTTGGGGAGGTCACTGGCTATCGGATCGGCATGCACGGGGAACGAGAACGCCGATGGAATGGATCCGGCTAATGGACGCATGTAGATGTGTGCATGTGTCAATATTCTTGTCGATGCAATTAACCTATCGCCAGGAGGCTGACACAAAGAGAAGGCGAAAGCTACTGTAAGAGCAGACCCCTTGCTGACAAGACAAATAGGCTACAGCGTTGGCAGGTTTACAATCGATTCGATTTATAGATCGATTTTTCAGCATAATTTTGTGCTTGTGGGGGTGTAACGTTAATAATTCACAATCCTAAAAAAATAAATAGCTAATCAAATTTTTTGCCTTGAAGCCTTGTAAAGGATGCAAAAATAATTCAATTGGTGTATAATAATCATTAGAAAAAAATTTATCGAAAGTTTTAAAGCCTAATCTAACTTACCCTGACATAAATTTGAGATTCGGGCATATAACAATGAAAATTTAAAATTTCTAAAGAAATAATAAACTAATCTATTGTCTTGCCTCAAAAACTTGCTATTAAGGAAAAAACAATTAAATTGGTATTTAATAATTCTTAGAAATAAATAAAAAAAAAGTACTAGCCAGTGTCCTTTGTCTTTACGATGAAAACATAAACCGGGGGATGAATAGGAATAGAATGAAGGAGCCTGAAAGTCTGGTAAAGTCGTTATCACATGCATTATCAACATCCAGACTTTTCACTTAAGGATCATGGTGGCGATAGTTTATAGACCGTTATAGAGTCCGGAGGTTCTATGGTTGTATAGGTGTTAGTGTACTGGTATACATATGAATGACTATGCAAATACTTAGTAGGTTGTTTTATTATCATAAAACCGTCCAGTGTCTAGCGTTGTGTAATATAGTGTAGAGAGTAAGTGCGTTTAATAAAATTCACCGACTAATAGAGGTAATAGAAAAGGTGATTACCACGGCGCCATAATATTTAGTAATATACCCTGTATCCTATACCTATAACGAGTGAGTTTGGATTTACGAGACGACTCGAGATATACCGACGGTCATTCATAATAAGAAATACCCCGACGGGTTTTTCATTCCACCTTCGCACCAACACCGACACTCAAAAGACCTTTGATAGGAATAACAGAATTACCATTTTATTGTTTATGATATGAATTATATAACATTATGCGTTATACATAATGCGTTTCATAATATCCTCTATAAATTATCACTTTACTTTTTTATTCATCTCGCTTTGCAAGACCATAAATTTAAGTTCGTTGGCTCCGAGCTAAGTTAATCTATTCCAGGAAATGGGTCACTCATTTTTACATGCAATTATTATCAATATTAATATTAATACTTACAAGCACGGCTTCGAAGGTCCCAAATTTTAAGGGTGCGATCGTGGCTACCAGTAACCACTTTAGAAGGCTCTCCTAGAAATTTAGCTGCCAGGACTTTAGCGCAGTGTCCTGTTAAGGTGTGCTGAAACAGAAAACAATTCAAACTTTTATTTTACAAGCTCGCTCTATTAAAAAAATCTACACTATGGATTCCTATAGTGAATTTATATAAGTGGAATAAACATAGACCTTGTGAGAGTGACTTAGGCCAGTGAGTAGCGTAGAAGACTGTCAACCATGAGGTACCGGGTTCAAGTCCATCAGACGCGAGCATTTTTTCTATTAGATAAAATTACAAAATCCGTTTTTCAGAATTAATTTCAATCAATACTTAGTTAATAGCAATTACTTCATAATTATTTTTAATTTTTTAAATAAATTTTTTTTCGCCTAATATGGGAATCTATGTAGGATCCTACCCTGGATTCCTACATAGGAAACCATATGAGAATCTATCCGAAAACGCCATGTGGAAATCTAGGCTGGTTTCCCATATGGATTTTTGGGATAAAGTACAAAATTAATTCTCTTGAAGAAATACGTATTTTGATCCAAGAAAATTTATTTAAGTCAAGAAAATCTTGTTGTTTAGAGAAAATTCAACCTCGAGCTCCAAAAAATTTAGCTCTTGATAGAAGTTAATTTTCTTGTCTTGAGAAAATTTCTCTCTTGCTCCAAAAAATTAAATATAAAGATAGAAGTAAATTTTCATTAATATTTTTATTGATTAACATGTCAATTGGGAAGATCAAATAATATTTCATCATTTTTTTTCATTCAATATGTATAATTGCACGGTAAAATAATATAAAATGGGTATCAAATATTCTCGAGAAAAATTTTCTCAAGATGAAAAAATTTTTTTCTCAGCTCTAAGTAGGTGGCGCTGCTTCCCTAAAGTATCTAAAAATCTTGATCATATATAAAAATTTATTGTATCAAGTATTTATGATAAAAAAAAAATGACTTCCACCAAAAATAGAATTTAAAGAAAAATTTTAGCATCGGTTTTCTAGCAAACACCCAAAAATTTTCTTGAGCCAATAATTTTGTTCTCCAGTCATGAAATTTTTTTTTCTGTGTAATTTTAGAAATAATTAGAGCTTTAGTAGATTTATATTGCATCTTTGATATTCTTCAAAGTAAACATTATTTTTTTCAGTCAAGTAATCTCGCGATTAATATAAGCCCTTAAAAAATGAAATAAAATAAAACTTTACTCTCTATGAAAAATATTTACACTAATTAAAAAATGACTAGGATTTACAGGATGCCCGTGGAGAGGGAAAGGGTAGAATCCAATCTCTTTAGCCAAGCGGTAAGGGAACTAGCGTACTTGATTTCGCCTCGAACTGAAAAGATGTAGCCGTAAAAAGGGTAAAAAAATTTTAAATAAAATAAAACCCCCGACCTCAGAGTAGTTACGGATGTTAGGTAAAGCACGGAAGAGTGTTTCTTCTTTTGAAAAACGTTCTAATGAAAATTAATGGCTGGAAACTTTTGCTAAACCCCTCGATCCCTCTTTCCTGAATGCTGGAAGCTTCTTCCCCCCGGATACCCGACACTCTACACCCGCAACGGCTGTTTCTACCCCTGGTAGTTTTATTTCACAACCAAGAACGTAACCAAGACCGAGACCGAGACACTACCTCATCATCCAGAGAGCATCTTAGTGATGCATATGGACCAGACACCAGACGCCGAACCATATGGCCAATCTGCTTAATACAACTTAACGTTACTCTGCTTTTACCTTTGCTGCTAGTTTGTTCTAATAAATAACACAAATACATCATTCATCAGTTATTGTCAGCTAACACTTACAAATATTGTTATTATTATAATTAAATTATAAATTCCGCGGTTTTAATAATAAAAATAAAATTTTAAAAAAGCTTATCATCTATATTATCGAGAGAGTGCATGTGGGTAGTCAAGATCAACAACAATTTATAAAAAAAGAATCTGTTAAATAAACATTTTCTCGTGGACTGATTTCCTTATTTTATTTATTTTAAAAACTCCGATCGCGGATTTTTTTCGGAGTGAAATTCGAAAGCACTCCGAAATCACTCTGAAATCACTCCGCAAATAAAAACTCTGGATTCACTCCCTACGCGGAGTGATTAATTACTTCACTCCGGAAGTCCGAGTGATGGGAGTGAAATGAGAGTGAAATTCACTCCCGATTCACTCCGGATTTTTTACAGTGTATGTATATATGAAAAATATATCAAAAATGCATGTAGGTACTCAAATGAAAGTTCTTGATGAATGTAACATCAGGATGAGCTTATATCTTTAAAATATCTAATACATAATTAAGAAATGACCTTGTATCTTGTGAAATTTTGAAATTTTCAGAGATATAAGCTCATCCTGATGTTACACTCATCAAGACCTTTCATTTGAGTATCCACATCAACTTTTCTTATATTTTATATATTTATATATATATATATATATTACATATATGTATATATGAAAAATATATCAAAAATGCATGTAGGTACTCAAATGAAAACTCTCGATGAGTGGAACATCAAGATAAGCTTATACCTTTAAAAACGTCAATATTTAAGAAAATACAGTGTAATTTAACAAAAATCTTTATTTAATAAAGCAAAATTTTATTTATTTATTATTATTATTTTATTAAAAAAAAAAAAGAAACTAGATGGATCAGCGATATGGTATTGGCAACGCGCCATCTTGTACTATCTGTTGCTTGTCTCAGTTTATTCCGGTGGTTGAGATAAAAAATTTTTAAATTTAATCGGAAATCCGTGGTGGAATCCCACTTTAACATGGCTTAAATTTTTTCCTACAATCATTGGTAACATTGGAGAGTGTAATTTTCCCCCTGATGGAGTTAGAAAGCCGTGACGTTAATTAAAGCTCGTTATTGTATTGTAGTGAGGAACATTAAAACGAATATAATCTCGGTGTATAGCCTCTTGTCGGGATGATAAATGGGTGTAAAGGTAGCCACTGGTGGTGGGCATCATCAGTTAGCATGAGCAGTAGTCGTAGTATCACTAGTAGAAGTTGTTGTTGTTGTAGTTGGTAGACTTCTATATATATGTATATAAAACCGAACCAGAGAACCAGAAGTGGAGACGGAGGAATTAGAAAAGGTGATGCAAGCCACGATACCGACCTGCGGCGATTTTTCATCAGTTATTTTGTACACGTCGGCGAACCAGTGAGACAAGCTTGGATGAGAGATAAAACTTTTAACTGCATCCCGACTATAGTCTATAGACTAGCTAGCTCGGTTGCCAGAGTGTTGAGCCAGACCCACCCGAGCCGAGCACCAACTCCGTTTGTCAGTGCCCAGTAAAAGAGGAGAGGGCTCTCTCTGCTCAAGTCCAAACTTTTTCCAAGCTAACGAATCGTGGCGAAAAGTTACCCACCAAGCATCATACCAATCCCAAAGATCTTCCAGCTCCGCATCAACCCTGATCATCCGAATATTCCCTTTTCCTCATGAAAAAAGCGAAAATATAATTAGGTTTGGTAACAATCTAGCAATCGACAACCTGTTGGATAATTTACCGGGTTTTGTGTTAACTTTAGCCATGGGAATTTAATTTTTCCGTCCATATTAACCGGAAAAGGCCAGAAGCTGGTAGTATGAGCAGAAACAGGAGTTGAGAGTAGAGCACGTCAAGAGTTGTACCGCCCGGAATAAGTTCAATGAGCTCATAAAACTTTCCGTGGGCTCTCTGCTACTTGACGTAGTCAATTACAATTTACAGAGTTGCGCAATGCAGTTTTTATGGTTCTCACATAGCCATTATTTCGCTTCAACACTAACGAGTCCTCGCGGACCGAAAAGAGACCAGAGTTTCCTAAGAGTTTTACTTCAGATCCCGAGTTATTATTTCAGTTATTATCATCATCACCTTGGTGACTTTAACAATTATTATCAAAAAAATCCATAAAAGAAACCAGCCAGGATTTCCACATGGCATTTTTGGGTAGATTCCCCTATGGTTGCCTATATAGGAATCCAAGGGAGGATCCTACATAGATTCCCATATTAGGCGAAAAAAAATTTATTTAAAAAATTAAAAATAATTATGACGTAATTGCTACTAATTAAGTATTATTGAAATTAATTCTGAAAAGCGGATTTTGTAATTTTATCTAATGAAAAAACTACTGGCGTCTGATGGACTTGAACCCGGTACCTCATGGTTGACAGTCTTCTACGCTACTCACTGGCCTAAGTCACTTTCTTACAAGATTAATGTTTATTCCACTTGTATAAATTCACTATAGGAATCCATACTTCCGATGTGGATTTCCCATACAGGAATCCATGTATCCACAGGTTCCTATGTGGATTTTTTTGATAGGGTAGGAATAAGTGATATTTCTCGGATCAAAAAAAATTTTTTTTTCTCTCAAGAAAATAATTAGGAAGAAAAATATTGTCCCCGCTCAAGTGAACTTTTTTTTCTGTGTAATCGATAATTTATTTAATATAAAACCCTCCATCGTATATTCTAGCCAATGAAATTTATAAATATAGATGAAAAATTATAGAATAACCCCATCCGCGAGTCGAGAATAAATCTATCGAGTACACCACGGAAAAAAAAAAAAATTAATAATCTTGGATAGTAATTTAATATACAGCAGGGTGCGTATTACACAGATGTTGTAATCGTAAATAATAACCATTAGCGCCATCAACCAGATCGTTTGTTAATCCGGAAGGTATTAGCTTTATAAATAAAGATTAACTGTGTAATCAATATATGATTATTAAATACATATATCCCATTCTCATTAAATATTTTATTCTCCGAGATTATTAATAGTAAGATAAATCGTTGTGGGTTTACGCTGGTCTATATAATAATAATAATAATAATAATAATAATAATAATAATAATAATAATAAAAATAAATATTGTGACAATCTTTAAATAATAACACAAGTTATTAAAGATGTCTTAATTAACTTATTTTTTTTTGTTATTTCATTCACACAATATGATTAATCTGTATCAACACAATAGGCAATTGGATTTAATAACCCCCATACAATAGTATAGACATCTATTCTCTTTAATCTTTCGCTTTCGTTTCGTCATGGATCGCTTCCCTTCAGAAATTTACCCACATTGATATTAAAGAATAATTTTTTAAGGAATTATTATTTTCTTGAATGAAAAATTTATAAATAAAAATTTGGAGAAAAAAAAGAATTTATCAATTATAAGTATGGAGTAATAAAATGTTTAGTCATTTATTTGGGAG